AGATAAGTACAGTGGTATAGCATACATCTCCAGTATTATTACTATTTCTAGATTCAGTAAGCTTCTACTTATTCATTCAAAAATGTGTATTAACCATTATTTTAATACATGAAAAATAAAGCCCTTTTTAAACCAAAAGGAGTCTTCTTATGTTACAGAAGGATAACTGAGCATTCAATCCCCATAGTTTAGAATCCTAACGCAAAATGAAATAAGATCATTATGAGAAGATATTCTTGAGACTGGCTTATTGATATTTGTTTCCCAGTACCTGGGACTAATTGACATGAAAGCATTTACAGATAAAATAAGAATGGATGGGAAGAAAATATAGATGTATCTGTAATGCAACAGTATGGATATCCACAAAAGAATAATTCACGAACCTAAATACAAGGAGGGAGAGAAGAAGGGAGGAAAGTTATTTTTTTGTTTCCCCTGAGCAAACATATAATTTCCATGATTTCTTTTTAATGACTGTGTTCTGCAGCCAGTAGGTACTGATTTATGAAAAGCTGTAAAAGATCAGGTGGAACTCTGCAGGACATCGTTTACAGCTGCACGGATTGAAACCTATCTAATTTGTCTAGTAAAAGTGTGAGCTCACGGTGCACATCACCCAGCCTATAAATTTCCCCTTCAGACCCAATGTCTGGGGCTGGGTCTAAAAAAAACGCCAATGCCTGCAGCTGCTCAAAAAGCCCACATTCCCTTGGTGAGCATGAAGAGACATCACAGGCTCTTCACAGTGAGAGACAAATTCCTATCCATTGATAAACTCTCCAGATGTCCTCTCTGAGGAGGAAAGGAACCAATTTTATTTCAATTCCCCAGAGAAATCCTGCAAGTGGAAAAATGATACTTTGCAGGGCTGGTTAGTCTGAGGTCACTGGCATTAAAATTAGGTCATTCTCTGTCTTCCTTGCACTTTGATCCAAGTAATAAACAGAAAAGCTCGGTTGGGGTCACTCTAATCCCTAATCCTCACATCCTGTTCTATTTCGATCTGTTTATATTAATTTTCTCTAAACTCTTGTTGAGTCTGGTTATAGTGTTGAACTTTAAAATACAACCCATTTTGAATTGAGAAGAAAGGGAAACTACATTTTGCTATTAGGCATGCTTCATAAATATTCTGAATAAATGTCCTGGGGTTTGATTCTTTAGACCCACAAACCCATAAATAAAAAGTATTGCTATTCATGAGTCCAAGAGTCTACAACAGTTGACATTAGAGTCTATGTACAGCTACTGTGGAAATCCAAGCTGTGGGGTATGGTGTGTGTGTAGGGGGGTGGGGGGAAGTGTGAGGGGCATGTCTGTAGATATTTTAATATAATATTGTCTTCTTTCTAGGTCTCATTTCATTTTTCTTATAAAATTTTCTCACATAAGATTTATTGTTATTTCTATTAATTTTGTTTACTTACTCAATGATTTTTCCAATGGATCCAATGTTATATTTAATTCTGGCTAGTGACAAAGGCTGGCCATGATGACCATGACAAAACAAACCAAGAATATCATGCAAGTTTTGGAACCTGGGTTCCACAAATTCTTAGAAAAAACAAAAACAAGAGATTTTCAGTTATTAAAATAAAGTTCTAAGGAACAAACAAAAACAAGATATTTTCAATTATTAAAATTAACTGGTTTATCTTTATCTGATGAGTAATTTAAAGATTTAAAGGATTATAAAAAATTATATAATATATATATATTCCATAAGAAAATAATTTACAAAATGTTATATTTAAGTTTATATATTCCTAAAGGAAAGAAAATTAATGTTTTTTTTTAAATAATGCCTCTTTTGTCTCTACCTTTTTCTTAAAAAGATAACTTCTGAAGTTTAGTTAATATTAAACCATAAGACATAAACATAAATTATAAACTCCATAATTTTAAGTTTTAATTTATAATCAAAATGCCTAAAGTAGAGCCCTTGCCAGTTTGGCTCACTGGATAGAGCGTTGGCATGGGGACTGGAGGGTCCCAGGTTCGATTCCGGTCAAGGGCACGTACCTGGGTTGCAGGCACATCCCCAGTGGCAGCTGATCAATGCTTCTCTCTCATCGATGTTTCTAACTCTCTATCCCTCTCCCTTCCTCTCTGTAAAAAATAAACAAAATATATTTTTTTAAAAATGCTTAAAGTAGAGAGGATTTAAGTAGTTGATTTAGTCTAAGGGAAAGATAATTGAAAAGTCCTCCACTTTCAGCTGTCTTCCGCTTCACAAATGATTCTGCCAGTGAGAAAACTAGCTACTGATCTGTATTTGCCACAGAGGATAAATATAGAGGGCAAACCAAATTGTCACATTACTATTTTTTTCTTAAACTCAGCATTATGATTTCATTAAAATTTGACCATATTTACCAAATAGGTTTATGTATCTCCAACAAAATTCAAATAGTCAATTACATTCCTCTCATGTGTCCCCACAACAGGATGCATGTCTAGAGCATGATATAAAAGTTTTCAGATTTAAAAATCTTGACCTCACACTTATACATGTCTCCTGTATATCAGGGAGTGAGTTGAAGAAATGTCATCATGGTAATAGAAATTACCCAATTAAAAATTCCTTTAAAATAATGAGTACAGTTAGCATATATATGGATGTGCTTCACAGAGACATTTTCTCAGGAGAACAAAAGCTTTTACCACATATCCTAGAAGATATTCAGGGTTGGTCTTCACAGGTAAAACACTATAGAGTTTATGTATGTCTGGACAGATCATTTGCTGTTATTTCATGCTATTTCTAAAAATATTGGATTTGGTACCTTAAAAAGCTAATTTGTTTCTAAAATAATGATAAATTCATGTTAAAGTATTTTTGGTTAGTTTTGGTATCTTTTGAAAAATAATTGTAAATTTTGAACTTAAAAAACATTTCAAAAGATGGGTTTCATTTAGGCCAATTATTAATTTTCAATATATATGAAAATGTGAAGTTCTGGTTTAAAAATATTCTAATAGTTACTAACTTTAAATAATGTTAAAAGTTTTCAAGAACTCAATGTTGACTATATGCTACTGCAGTATCACAAAATATAAAATGTTCAGGAGAGGCGAAAATCTAAATGTACCCTTTCAGTTGTAAGATAAAAATTAGGTTATGACACTTTACAAGACAATGATACCGTCCAAAATGTCCTTGGAGACATTTGGTCCGCATCAAAAAGATCCTAAAGTTTGCTAACATATTAATTAATGAACCATGCATCCAGAGATCCCATCCTCAACTTGTCCTCTGTTCATTTTCCTAAGAAGGACTATTCTTCTTTAAACATACTTAATATAAATCCAGCTCTTCTGCATGATTCAAACCCTTACCAGCTAAGCTACTGAGGTAAGAAGGGTAACTAACAATACAACTACAACAAAATTATTGCAACAAGAAAATATGATAGTGTTTTTCATGTATTAATCCTATAGACTAAAAGTTCAAATAAATATTATGGACTATTTGAACCCAGGGACCTTTCTAAGATGAAGTAATAGGACAATTCTCCACCTGGGGACTGGTTTCAGTCTCATGAGTTAAAGGAGAATTAAAGAGGGTACTGAGAGCTGAAAAACCTACCCCAAGGGCAATTCACCAAAAGGCTGCTTCTTTGAGCTCTTCTAGGGTGAAAATATGCTCTCTTCCATTTCTTTTACAGCCCTTTGGTTCACCATATGACAGTTGGTAATAGATCTATGGTTAGGCCAGTAATTATATAAAACAATGCAAGAAGTTCTTCGCTTTTAAAAAATGTTTTTTATTGATTTCAGAAAGAGGAAGGGAGAAGGAGAGAGAGATAGAGACACCAATGATGAGAGAGAATCACTGATTGGCTGCCTCCTGCGCACCCCCCAATATGGATGAAGCCTGCAGCCAGGCCATGTGCCCTGTCCCAGAATCGAACCAGCAACCTCTTGTTGCATGGGCCAACACTCAACCACTGATCCACAATGGCTGGGCTAGAAAGTCTTCTTAATGCTGATTATATTGTGCAATACAAATCACAGTAACAGTCAATTTCTCTCTTTTTTAATTTTATTAAATTTATTGGGATGACATTGATTAATAAGATTATATAGGTTTCAAGTGTACAATTCTAATAATATATGATCCGTGTATTGCATTGTGTGTTCACCACCTAAAGTTAAGTCTGCTTCCATCACTATATATTTAACCCTCTTTACCCTCCTCTACCTCTCCTGTAATCCCCTATCACTTTGGTAACCACCATACTGTTCTCTGTGTCTTTGAGTTTTTGGGTTTTTTTTGTCTTGTTGGTTACTTTCTATTTTAGATCCCACATATGAGTGAAATCATATCATATTTAGTGAAATAAGTAGGATGAAAAAGTCTCTCTCTTTTTATTATTCATTAATGTTTAACATAAAAGGAAGAAGGAAGGGTGTGTGTGTGTGTGTGTGTGTATACGTGTATATATACACACACATATATATAGTATATATATAGTACATATATATATGCATATATATATATATATATAGAACTCTACATATACAAGCATAACTCAATATATATAATGAACTCTCCTTTTGGTGTTGTCACATATTCAATGATTTCATTTGTTACTCATCACTGCTTTCCACTCTTTTTGTTATTTTTAATGACATTTGTGACATTATTTAAATCTGTGCTGACTTTGTGTCTTGCTATAAGTATAGTTTATGTTGTCCAAACTGTAGTTTAGACAGGCAGTAACCTGAACAATGGTCAGGATTTAATATGGAAAACCAAATCCATCATTAAAGTAGACAATAACTTATTCAGTACATCATTTTTATAATAATTGAATCCTAAATTAAGATCATCTTTGCTAATGGTTAAATGAATTAAATTGGTAAAGTATGTATGGACATATTTATGCATTTCATTGGCCAAGTTTCAGTGATTTAAAAAGGTGTCAAATCTTGACATTCAGAAACTCTGTTGACTCCTGTCCTCTCTCCCTTTGATATTTACTTTCTTGCAGGCCATCAAACCTTCTTCTGGACCAAAGCAATGTCGACATCACTACCTTCCGCACAACAAGTGACTGGCTTAATGGTGTTCGAACAGCACAGTGCAAAGAAATCTTCACAGGCGTGGAATACAGTTCTTGTGACACCATAGCCAAGATTTCTACAGAGTAAGAAAAAGTTTTTAAGAAGACTGAATGATTCTAAACTTTCTCCTGAGCATACATGTTTTGGATTAATGTGTTATAAATATTAGTTGAACCTCTGAGGTACTTACTGTTCCCTGTAACCACTGAACTGGTTCCTGGGTCTCTCTCTTTATAAATAACACCTTTTGGGTTTATGTGTATTGGTGTGTCTTCTTCCTTCAGTTAGGCCAACAGATACACAGACCCAAGCCCCTAACTAAAAACATGAGCAGATAGGGCCTGACGATTTTGTGTTTTCTGTTACTTTTAACAAAACCTAGTTTCTGTGGAAATGGAAAAGAAAAATTTAAGTGGGTAAGCTGGTATACAGGGAGACATGCTAAAGTCAGAAGCAGCTTTCACAGCTGCTAAATAAGCATATCACCATCTATGATTGAGTCTAAGAAGGATTTCATCTTTGCAAATGAAGCTACAAATAAGTTTAAGGTATTGCTTTATTGTTTTCCTTAAAAAGCTTATATTCAGCTTGGAAAAAGAATACAAATAATTTATATGGTTTGATGTGTTAAAAGGCAATAATAATTAAATATAATATGATGAATTTCTTAGACAGAGATCTTTGGATAATAGCAATTCTTTGGCTGGGGAAATACATGGGCTTAACGGAAGGGGGTTATCAAGTGAATCCAGTGACTAGTCAATAACCGTCATCTTTGTTCACAAGCTACGGTAAATGGGAGCCGGCAGTAAAGAACTAGATGCCATATTCTTCTCTCTGTGAGTGAGAGTCAATTCACTTCATTTCTTAATGTAACCTACATCATTCTTTTCTTTTTCTGCACAGTGACTCTTGCTGCACTCCCATGACCATAGATAAAAATGGCTTTCTCAGCCCTCAGTCATGCAATCTTAGTTTGCTACTCAACTGACTAGGGTCCAACTCTCTTCACTCCAAGCCCTCAAAAGAGGATTTGGATGGGCTCAGTGCTACTTGTACATGACACCTTCAAAGTCATATGTTTTCCATTATAAAACTATTTCTGTTCAAAAGAGGTGAAGTAAGATGGCATGAACTTGGCTCTAGGAGCCTTTTCTTGAAGGTAAAATAGAGACCTGTTTCAAAAAAAAAAAGATTTTGTGTTCACCAGATACACCAACTTATACATAGTTTTGTAGCTTGTACAGTTTGTTTGCAAACTGTGTCTATCTTTGTTTCAGAAAACAATCTCTTTATTGCCCTCTATTTCCTTTACGTTAACCTCTCCTACCAATATTTGAATATTTAAATATTGTTGAATATTTGAATATTGTTGAATATTTAAATATTGTTGAATATTTAAATTTTTCGTTATCATCTTGTCAATCATTTAAACAAAGCCATTGTGGAGAACTACAGATGAGCTATCAAAAAAGAATGTGCAGTGTAATTAGTAGATATATAAGTGCCTAGTAAGTAGGTAAAGAAGTTGATCATTCATGGCATAATATTCCAATCAGAAACACAACAAGTCACAAAAGGACCTCATTTATTACTATGGAAGAGGAGAATTGTTCTGAAGAAATAAGCTTATTCTAGTCTATTTAACCTGTGTTGGTACTCCTGTTTAAAGGGAAATTCACTGTTTATTGAATAGACTTCTGACTCAATCTGCAACACGCTTTGACTTTCGTTAGTAGTTATTTTGATCATACACAATCACAGGATATAGTAATATATTTAAATATTTTAATTCTTATTTTATTAATATAAACAGTTGGGGTTATGATATACAAGACACCTGCTTTGGGGCACAGAAGCATAGGGGAGAGCAAACACAGTTGAATATTTCCGCACCATTGCCAGATTTTCAAAGGCAACATTTTATAAATGTGTATTTTCAATAAAATATCGATACTTATAGCTTTTAAATAATGGAGTGGATGAGGCAGAACATTGTTAATATGATTAACTGCCAGCTCACAATTTAAATATAGTCAGAGATTGTAAGTTGTGAATATGTTAAGAAAGCTATTCGCTTAAAAAGGTCAAGTGGCAGCATTTGCTACATTTCCAATTGAGAAATATATTTGTCTCAACCATACAGTGTTGGGCAGAAAGCTCTTTTTTGCTCGTTAGAATGTTTTCACTTGATAGTTATTATTATTATTTAGACAATCTGTACATTCAAGATGAAAACTGACTTTCCTGAGACTCAACTCTTTCAGGTTTGTTCTTCACACTGAGTCGCATGGTTTCAGATCTCTCTGCATTTCAAACTCCACAGTTATCTTTCTTCTGTCCTTTCTCCTGAACTCAGGAAGAAGATAGAATTAAGATCTATTGGCTTGAAATTCCTTGAAAAGAATTATTTCTTAGATCTCAGTGTGGTGTACCTCCTGCCCATAGTTTATACTACAAAATTAGAATTAAAAAAACAACATTTAATACACTAATTATTTGGGGAATTCTAATGAGGCAACATTGATATCTTAAATCCTTTAAAATATTTAACCCAGTATTTCATCTATTTTTCAGTCTTAAGTTTATTGTTTGAATTTGATTTCTTTCAATCCTTATGTTCTTTGTGCCATTCAGACTCAATGAAGAAATTATTCCCTTGATTAAATAACTCCAGAGAGTCTTCTAAAATAAGATAGTGATAACTAAAAAAAGGACTTTAAATTATTTTTTCTATCCATGCTATCAAATCACAGAAAAAGTTCAATGGGGCTTCAAAATTAAATATTAACTTGTTTCAGTTAGTTCAGGATTTCATTTACAGCAAGCTACTCAAGTCATTTCATATTTAGATGAAATCCATAAAATATGCAATTTAATTCAGTATATATATTTTTTAAAATATTATTTAATACCATAAGATAGATTTCAGAAGGTTAAGGTAAGAACGGAAGAGAGAATGAGAAAGGGGGCAAAAGTGACCATAGACTCTGGAAAGAGAATGCAGTGTGTGTAATGAATATTAGGCAGATTCATTGCAACATGTCATTATCCTGTACTCTTGGAGGCCATTTTCCAAGTGTCATCACCTATCCTTTCGCCTTTGAAGTACCATATAGCTCATTAACCTCTGGTCTCAATCTTGAGTTGACCTGTGGTCTTGAACTTATCCACTGCCCTTCTGAACAGGGTAGTCAAGATGATATAAGCACGTGGGGAGTGTTATTGAGACTATAGCAGCTGTATGTTTACAACAATTTTGTAAATGGCAAGGTGGTGGGTAGAAGACTTTATGGAGGAGGTAGAGAGAGTGGAGAGTCCATAAAAACCCAAGCTAAAGCATAACTTAAAGGGATTATTGCTTTAATTCTCTTTTCCAATATAATCCTTGGCATTAAACATAGAATAATGTTTATGATTAAAATGCTGCTTATATTGGGTTCTGAGACATGGAATCTTAAAGCTTTATGAAGATTTCTTGAGGCGTGAGCTTGGAACATACAGTCCTTCCTGCTG